ATTCCTTGTGACGATGCCCACAAGGACTCTGAGAGAGTCTAATAACTTCTCAGCACACCACTGCTTTCCACACAGTGAAACTAAAGAGTTCAAGGTTGAAATTTTTGAGTTCCAGGAATCATCAGACGGTGAACAAACTTCCTAAATTTATCTTGTTCTTATAGCCAAATATAGGGCCACCATATCTGAAAACTGGACTCAAATGTGATGACTATTGGAGAAGTGAAGAACACGCTGGATTCCCAACCTTGTCTGATCTCCCATGTAAAAGTTAAGACACTTTTTTGGAAAGATTGAAGACTTTTGGAAGAATTTCTAATAAACTCATGACTCAAAATTCCATGAATCCTCCTTGTGAGTAGAAAGAGCCCTTCTACTCCTATCTGAAGAAGCCAGAGGGGCTGCACTTGATTATCTTGCCTATCTTGGGGTTACCAATTCTACATGAGATGTGCCTATCTCCTGGCATTGCTTCTTACCTAGCGCTAGAGCTAGGTCCTAGGAAGATGGGTGTAGAGTCTGACTTGGGGAGAAACACCTTGCTATGGTTTGTGTATAGGTGTCCCCTCAAAGCCTCATGCAGTCACAGGGAAGCTTCTGGAGTTCATGATCAATTACTGTGGGTGTGGATACTGCACCTGCCCTGGGACAGGGAATTTCCATTACAATGTAAGGAGGGATGAGTTGCTAGCTAGATGCCTGAGCTGCTGCCACTCCCTGAGCTCCCTGCTCTTTGCTGCCACCATGAAAGGCTTCTCTCTGCCAAGTGTGACTCTACCTGAGAGTCACCTGAGTGTGGAATGAAACCTCTGTAACAGTGAGCCAAATAAAGCTTTCCTTCCTTCATTTTGGTTGTCCAGTCTTTGTCCCAGCCATGAAAGAAGAGTAACTGAGACATATCTTATATATAGAAAAGATTGAAAGGTGTGCTAGTCTATATTGGAAGAAGCCAGAGAGAGAGCTCAGTGGCATAAGCACCTGCCTGGAAAGTCCAAGGTCCTGAGTTTGATCCCTGGTACAAAACAAACAAAAAAACTTCAAATATATTGGAAGAAACCTGTAGAAATGGATTTTAAGAGTGCCCTAGGCTAAAGAGGCAAAAAGAAAATATTATATTAAGATACTTTTATTAATATAATTGTACTTCCTCAGGTATTTCAGAATCAAGATGCTTGATACTTAATCTTATGAACAGATTACCGGGTTACTAGATGAATCCTGGGATCTATAGAGGCCAAGGTCAAGTAAAATTGAGGTGTCAGAAAATGTTAATAATGATATACAAAGAAAGAGAGACACCTAGTATTGATATATCAAGTGTGGCCTTCTGTCTGTCACCTATGTCCTTATATGAATGTTCCCACAGGGAATCTTTTCACAAAGGAATAAGAAATGCACTGGTGAGTCCAAGGATGGTGGCAGGAAGTAACTCCAGCTAGAATAACATTCTCAAATTCAGTGACCATAATAGTGTCCCAGATAGGGGAAGAAGCCACGAGACTACACTCCAGCTTGAAGGCCAGAGACCTAGTAGGCATGGCTCCCAAGAGAGGCAACAGGTTAAAGCAGCAAATGCCTTGAGCCACAGAGGTCACTGGTGTTGGCTCATAGACCACAGTGTTCTCTGCAGTGAAATGTAAGTGCTGCTTACCAAATACTTGGTTTTCATAATTTAATACACTCTCAGCCACCTTATAAAATTTTTAGGCACAAGTGAGAATCATGATGTTTTACTCAAACTCCACATTTGGACTTCTGAAATTAAGGGTACACAGGTTCATTTGAAAAAATACCCAGGTCTTTGCCAGAATAATAACCTCTAACCACCCTTAGAGCTTCTTCAAAGGGACCTGCTGTCAATGACTGCTGAATCGACATTTTATAGGGTGGAGTCATTTCCTCATCTTTGAGGCTTAGTGGGCAAAGACACGCTCTGCCAATGGCACAACAGCCATACTGGTTCTTTGACCCATGGGATATCCAGAACTGCCCTCGGAACTGCCTCCCCTTCTTAAAATTGAATTAAATTGGAGGATGACACAGATTAGCATTGCCACAAGAAACTAAAGTATGCAGATATGGGATTCTTGTCATGTTCACATTAACTACTCTATTTGACCAGAGCTGAAAATAAATGACCTTAGAGAAAAACAATGAATTATTGTAAACTTAATCAGAAAGTAACTTCAATTGCAGCTGCTTCTCCAGATGTGCTCTCTCTCCCCCTCTCTCCCTCACTCTCTCTCTTTCCAAATTAACATACCACTGAGATCTTTTATGTAACTATTGATTAGAAGAGAAATTCTATGTGTTACTAGGAAACAAATGCAGCAAAGATATCGGACTCCCCACAGTAGGACAGCAGTCTAGCTTCACCTCACCTTGGAGCAGGTCAGCTGGCTGCCCTTGTATTACGACCTAATCCTACAGGATTGATCACTCCACCATCACACAGGAAATTGATGACTGGGGCAGGCTGCATTTTCCAGGTTGAAAGATGCTCCACACAGGTACCTTGGAACTTGTGATAAATCATGTCCAAGGCACTTGGCTCTTTGGAGAAAATACTGAAATGGGATTTTTTTTTTTTTTTTTTTTTTTTTTTTTTTTTTTTTTTTTTTTTGTATTTTAGGACAGGGTCTATAGGGTCTCACTGTGTAGATCAGACTTCTAGAGATCCTCCTGTTTACAGCCTTCCAAGCACTGGGATTACAGGCTCATGCCACCACACCCAGTCTCAATTGCCCTCTCAGCACGCTCCAGGGGCGTGTATGGTACATAAAATGGGATCTTTAGATTAGGAAAAATAAGATCCCAGGTACTAGAATGAGACAGGGTAAGTTATTTTGTGTGTGAAGGGTCTACAGGGTGTTCAGGTTGTCACCACTCACAGTGATCTGCCTGTTTACAGCCTGCCAAGACTGGGATTACAGGCGTGTGCCACCACGCCCAGTCTCAATTGCTGTCTCAGCACATCCCTGGGGTGGGGCAGGCATGGCAGACCCGGGGATCCAACCCTGTTCCCTGCTTCCAGGCACTTTAATCCACTGAGCTATTTGGCCAGCTCTTATTTTGCTTTTTTAAAACATCACTTCAATTTCATTTTTGTCACTCAATGAAGAAAACTTCTAGAGGTCTCTACACTTGGTGGAAAGATGTATCAAAGAAAGTCATCTTATAGAGAGTGTGAGGGCAGGAGGTAACTGAATGGTAGAATTAACCCCTAAAGAAGAGGTTGGTGTGATTTAGAAATCTGGACATCTGATGCTGTAGGCCAGACTAAGATGCTTACTGTTCTTTGTTACAACCCTTATTCATTAATTTCCTATATTTTGGAAAGCCCCCATATGCCACAGAGATCATAACTGTAGACTAAGCTCTTATTATTCAGTGTTGTATTTAAGGTCTAAAGTATCACTTGTATGTGGTAGGTGCTGTGTAGGAAAAAAAAAAAAGCAGGTAAATTGAATGGATTGTGATGTTTTCACATCCACAAGTTGTTCTGTGTATGCTGGGGGTGAAGTGTGAGGAGTCAAGAAGGTTAGATATGTGGATATAACTATTGGAATATGAAGCTATGGTTTGGAGGTCAGAGAAAGAAGTACAGAAAATAGAGATATTTGAGCACATGTGCCCTGCACTCACAGGAGTATCCTTAGAATAGAGAAAAGGCTATTAGTCTTCTTAAGAGAAGGCTCAAGTATCAAAGAATAATTGTTTTCAATAGGCTTAAGGAGCTAAGTGTGATGGTACAGGATTGTAATACCAGCACTGGGGGGGCTGGATCAGGATGACTATAAATTTCAGCCTCACCTGGACAGCTCAGTGAGACTTTGCCTCCAAATTATTTTTTAAAGGACTGGGGATGCAGCTCTGTACAAAAATTCTGGAGTCAATTGCTAGTAAGAGAGTCAGAGAGAGAAAGAGAAAGAGAGAGAGAGAGAGAGAGAGAGAGAGAGAGAGAGAGAGAGAGAGAGAGAAGA